ACTTCCGGTCAGAGCGGTTTATGTATATATTGATCTATGATGGCGGTGTAGGAATGTAAACTGATTCACAGGTCTTATATAATAAAAACAAATATACGAATTGATTCTCAACACTTTTTTATTTATTCATTTTATGATACACTATGAGCTTCTTTGATTGTATATTCTGATTGGGGGTGATAAGACGTCCTTCAATACATAAGCCACATCTCTCATACTGAACAGAGCACAACCCAGTCAACCACACCCCGTGTGCAACTGACAAAATCCACACAAATATCATCACTCTCACACATACATATACATCACAAAAATATCTACAAATATCCCTTCAAACCCAGCATCATAACGTCTGATCAGTTTTATGAACCTGTTCAAAATGATATTTTTCTGGATTTTTTATATATTGAAAATGTACGTTTTAAAGTATCAGATAGAGCTACTTCTGGTAGCTTGAATTTGACGTCACAATCTTATCTCAACATCTAAAACTGACGCCATATATGTACCACAACAGTTGTAGCTAGTGTTATATATGTAACTCAACCGTTAAAACTGACGTCATATATACAGCACAACGTTTATAGATGACGTCACATATGCAACACATCAGCTAAGCTCTATTTAGCTTTAGTCTGATTTCGGTAAGCCTTCATGGGCATTATAAATGGATAACGACAAATCCCAGGAAGCACTTATGTTCCACCAGGTATTTATGTCAGGAATACCAATTAGATGTAAGTTTATTCATTTCTCAACCTCGTGTTGAGAGGTAAACTCACTTTGTTTCCTTACATTTTTACTACGCCTGTGGCAGTTCATGAGCTGGTAATACACATCTGACTTTGGTAAGACTATACCATAGTGAGGTGATACAATGGTAAACATAGCCGAAGTCACATTATGTACCAAAATAGGTAGAAGTAATAAAGTCAATCAAATTACGATAGTTACCATTGGCTTGATGTGTAAATATAGTAGCCAAAATCATCGCTTACTCGTTAAAAAGCTGCAGCTTAAGAAATTATGAATTGACATTAATGTATCAAACTTCAAATCACACTAGTATGTCAAATGCAGATATGTGCAGTTTTGCTAATAATCAAATAGCATTACAGAATTCAAACAACGCTATTACACGTCGATCTTACAACGCTATTACACATCAGTCAAACAACTCTATTTCACGCCAGTCATACAACCCTATTATACGTCAGTCATACAACGATATTACACGTCAGTCATACAACACTATTACACGTCAGTCATACAACGCTATTACACGTCAGTCATACAACACTATTACACGTCAGTCAGACAACCATATTACACATCAGTCATACAACACTATTACACGTCAGTCATACAACACTATTACACGTCAGTCATACAACACTATTACACGTCATAGAGACAACCCTATTACACGTCAGTCAGACAACCCTATTACACATCAGTCATACAACGATATTACAATACAACACTATTACACGTCAGTCATACAGCGCTGTTACACGTCACAACAACGATATTACACGTCAGTCATACAACACTATTACACGTCAGTCAGACAACCATATTACACGTCAGTCATACAACACTATTACACGTCAGTCATACAACACTATTACACGTCATAGAGACAACCCTATTACACGTCAGTCAGACAACCCTATTACACATCAGTCATACAACCCTATTACACGTCAGTCATACAACACTATTACACGCCAGTCAGACAACCCTATTACACGTCAGTCATACAACGATATTACACGTCAGTCATACAACGATATTACACGTCAGTCAAACAACGATATTACACGTCAGTCATACAACACTATTACACGTCAGTCATACAGCGCTGTTACACGTCAGTCATACAACGATATTACACGTCAGTCATACAACGATATTACACGTCAGTCAAACAACGATATTACACGTCAGTCATACAACACTATTACACGTCAGTCATACAACGCTATTACAAGTCAGTCATACAACGATATTACACGTCAGCCAGACAACACTATTACCAGTCAGTCAGACAACGATATTACACGTCAGTCATACAACACTATTACACGTCAGTCATACAACGCTATTACAAGTCAGTCATACAACGATATTACACGTCAGCCAGACAACACTATTACCAGTCAGTCAGCCAACGATATTACACGTCAGCCAGACAACACTATTACCAGTCAGTCAGACAACGATATTACACGTCAGTCAAACAACACTATAACACGTCAGTCATACAATGCTATCACACGTCAGTCATACAATGCTATCACACGTCAGTCATACAATGCTATCACACGTCAGTCATCCAACACTATCACACGTCAGTCATACAACGCTATTACACGTCAGTCATACAATGCTATCACACGTCAGTCATACAATGCTATCACACGTCAGTCATCCAACACTATCACACGTCAGTCAGACAATGCTATCACACGTCAGTCATCCAACACTATCACACGTCAGTCATACAACGCTATTACACGTCAGTCATACAATGCTATCACACGTCAGTCATACAATGCTATCACACGTCAGTCATCCAACACTATCACACGTCAGTCAGACAACGATATTACACACCAATCAAATAATGCTATCACACGTCAGTCAAACAACACTATAACACGTCAGTCATACAATGCTATCACACGTCAGTCATACAATGCTATCACACGTCAGTCATACAATGCTATCACACGTCAGTCATCCAACACTATCACACGTCAGTCAGACAACGATATTACACACCAATCAAATAATGCTATCACACGTCAGTCAGACAACTCTATTACACACCAATCAGACAACACTATCACACGTCAGTCACATAGTAATCAGAGGTGATGAGTGACAACAAAATAACATTAAGTGGCACATATCTGTCACATGATAGGAAATAAATATTCACAACTCCTTAAAACTGTTTAAATTGACTAATGATGTCAATAAAGGGACAAATCAACATGAAAACTGTGAGGTAAAACGAATACATCATTGTATTTAGATAATAGAGTGGGCGTGGTCAGCATTATCACGAAATAAAAAGGTAGCAGGAACACATAAAGCACCAATTAAATACAACATTTTCTGTTAAAACTAAGTGTTAAGTTTAATATACATCAGAAAAGGACTGCTACATGATAGGAATCTGATTCCAGGGCGACTTGTGCCTAATGAGATATCATTTATATCAGTAGTTATAATTACAGCAATATCTATTTTATGTTCAAGTACAATATTTTTTTTTCCAAATTAAAGCGATGTATTTGCACACGTATGTTTGCATTACCAATTTTCTTTGACTTGTTTTATATAGGTTACTAATGTGTATTGTTAGAAGGCGTAGATGATTTGTAATAACTTATATCAATTGTTCTAATTTTCATAATAAATATTTCTGAATAAAAATTAAATTAACCCGTCATCCTTAGCCATTTAAATCATCTCATGACTGTTTCATCAAAGGACTCTTAATGTTTTAAACAGTAGTTTTTAGATACGTATACTCACAGTACGATAATGTGAAGAATAAACTGAAGATCAGAAAATAACTCCCAAAACAATCTCTCGTTTTATTCCTACAACATTAATATTTCGTTCACTAACAACATACAGTTAAGTCTATTGAACATAACATTTAACAACCACATGCGAATCGGGTAGGTTCCTCAGCGTACATCTGTCCACAAAATATCACCAACACATACAAGACCCCAACTCAACTAAGCTTGGTTAAGATACTATGGGAATATGGCAGCATTGAACAGGGTTGTTTAAGCACCGTTTGAAAAGGAAATTATGTTTATGGAATCAACAGTGAAATCAGAGATATATCTTAGAGGAACATGACAATGTCTTTATAAGTGATGTAAAGAGCAAAACACACATAGTAACAACGTTTGTAACGTTATCGTAGAACATGGCTACATTCTGAATAAAAGCAGTTATGAAAAAAGGTAAATATTTTTGATTCATTCAAATACATTGTAGAGATATCTGTTTAATATCAAGTGTTAGGCTATAGGAGTAGTACAAAAAACCAGCATGCTTTATAAAAACCCTTAAATCATTAGAGCGCAACTGCATTCCGCGAATTCTTATGAATTATGGAAGGTAACCTATCTTCATACCGGTACCTGGATGTTTGTTTCACGTTCATAAAAAACACACGATTAGAAACAAAATCTAAAATGATATGAAGATTTATACAAATTGAGAATTTGATAAAAAATGAAAAAATGAAACTAATAATTGTTTATACATCAGGAATTTTGAACAAAATATAAAACATGTACACGGATTTAATTTTTTTTTTTGGGGGGGGGGGGGTTGCATTTTTTCAGCGATTTAGATCCTATACATCCCTGAAGATATTTAGAAGGACGAAACAGCTGTATAATGCAGTTTGATTCAATTTGTATTAAAATATTCCATGCACTATCTTATAAACTTGATACCCAAATTGTGGAATTTACTTCAAAATCACTTTTGTTCAAAGTGAATCTGAACTTAGATGTGTGTCTGATTAAAAGATTTCAAGACGATATGCAGTGAGCATTTTGTGATAGGAACCTTAGAGCTTCAATAGATACCAAGCACCAGTCTGTGATAGAAACATAACCCATACTGGTATGAGATCCGTCTTTTATCAAGCAGTGAAGGTTTTAGTATAAAAAAAAAGTCGTCAGTCATTTTTCGAGAGGTGAATTACAGTTCTGATGAAAAGTATCAATATTCCGGCATAAAGAAAGTCGTTCGTCATTCAACACGGAAGTACAATTCTGATAAACTTGTACTCAATCATAAAAACAACCCATAACAAATGTTAAAAATTCATCGTCAAAACGTGTTTAAGAAATTGTTATACTGTTGAAACCTTTCAATGATAATTGATACCATGGATCTACTCTGACTAGTTAAATAGTTGTGATATAGTCTCTGTACTATATATTACCCTCAAGTCAGTGTACGTAACCATTAGCCAGGTGGTATTGCTGAGTGTCCACTATAACGCTAGTGTACCCTGCCTGGGGCCCCACCGTGTATGGCCTAGGACTGGAGGCTGTCGCCGTATGGTTCACATTAGTTTGATTGTAATTGTCATAAGCACATGCAGCACGAAGACATTGCGTATAAAAATTTTTGTCGTGCATCATTCGAACGTCCATGATTTTGTCGTTATCTACGATACCGTCCTGTACATAAATGTCTTCCGAGTGTGTAGACTCGGTAGCACACTTGGAGAAGTCTGCTTGACCAGACAGTTTATCTGCGCTTTGAGGACGTTCCGTGACTGACTGACAGCAGTCCTCCCCGCTCCTCACCGATAGCGTGTCTGACGGGTACAAAGATCTGGACGGTCGTAGCATGATCACTGATTGTTGAAGATTATCACGTAGAGGAGACACAATTTTCGTCTGTTCACCCAACCGGGATGGCGACTTGTATGATTCCTCTTTTATATTCAAACTATTTGTTTCCAAAATATTATCAAATTTCACTTGGAGGTTATCAGTTCGAGGCTGATGCTGTTTCTCGTATTCGTCACTAACTACGTCAACATCAGACGCGGATGATTCAGACCTATTGCTAAAAGGACAGGTATATCCCTGAGGAGTTCCGAAGGTAGTGTCACGGGAACTACTTCGCGAACACGGACCGGATGTCCTGTAATCAAACTGTGGTGACATTGTTTGCCGTTCGTGGTGATCGATATGGGTAAGACGAGGGCTACAATGCCCATTGTGAGGAGCGATATATCCGGGATATGCCTCAAGGTTCCTCATCGGATAAAATTTCTCCTCTTCGTTTTCGCGGTATTGGAGTCTCTCGTCCAGGTATCTCTGTTGGGCTTGCAACTGGTAGATATCAGGAATCATTCCCTGCGGGTACTGAGGAGAGTACATGTTGGCTAATTTGTCTCCACATTCTAATACTGACTGGGGAGCGCTGTTAGCACACAACAGTTCCTGGGTGGCGGGATCAGACATAAAATCCAATGGTGATCTCTCCACACCCATGTCGGCGTGATTGTACTCTGGATTTTCAGCAATATGTGGGTATGGAGATCGTCTAGATTTCGACTTGGATGAGCGAAGCTTGCTCGTTGATCTGTTTGATATATTGGAGAAAGGCGATGGTTCTTTCGTGATGGTTTGCTCCAGCTGTATCTGAAGTCCTCGCGCTTCAAAATCACTGAAAATAAAATTCAACAATTCCAAATTTTCTGCTGGGTAAAATAAAGGCAATGAATATTTCAAAACCGATGATTTCAAAATGATTAGAAAGGAAGAATTTTTTAAGCAGACGAGTTCAAGAATATTTTTGTTTTATGTAACCGAATATATCATTATTATTTGTAAATGGTTATAGTTACGTCGGGATGAAGATACAGCCTGTAACGGGGAACATTCGCACATACCTGAGGACGTAATTGACACTGACGATACAGTGCGGACGGGAGGACCGACTGTTGTGGACTATTGTTGCGTGACTTTGTATCCAAATCCAGCCACCATCTTTAGTCAGAAACCTGTAATACTTTGTGGTCACCTGACCCTTTAACAGCACTGAAACAGGAACAATGAAATGGTAATTATTCAAGACCATGTGCAAGAAATACGAAGTAACGAAGAAATAACGACATCAAGTGTGAACGTAACCATGCAGAAGACGATTTTAGGAGAAGATCCTTTTTCGCAAAGACCTTTGCGAAGCAACAAAACAAGGTGATGAGGTCGAACAATATAAAATTTATCAATAAAACAACAATAAAGTTTTGTGTACTAGAAATAGCCCTGGTAATCACATAAAAAACGCAGAAAATAAATAGCCGCAGGTTGACGCATTCTAACATTGAGGTTTGGATCAAGGCCCATGTTAATAGAAGTTTCGTCACAGTGGGTTTAGGAAATGACGTAAAGGACACACCAACGTAGATGTTCTTGTTGTTCACAGTTCAAATTTCAATATTTAAATTCAAAGCGTATTTTAATGATTAATTTTCAAAAGTAAGATTATTGATTTTCATGGTTTAAATTATGTAACTGATGTTGTATTTTCAGATGTCTATCATCATGATTTCTACATGTGTGGGTTAAGACAGGCTTTTGGGGAGTGATTTGTCCATCAAGCAGTTTAAGGCTTTGATAATACAAAGATGTCACTTCTCAAATTCTCATCTTTCAATTGGAGATGTTATATCGTATAAACTTAAATAGATCATAGCTAAACTGGTTTCATAATTCTGTTTTCTTAAACTGGACTCGACTCGGTCAAAACAGAGCTTTGTGTTTTCGTGCTGTGTTGGTATTGATGAAGACATCATGTGTTGTCTGTGTTTGTATTCCCCGAGTGATACCTCCTGTCCTCTTAATCCCCGGTACTACCACACACCTCGACTTTCTTATATAACATGCGAGTGCTTTTTCACAGTCCTGTCACTGTATTCGTGGCACAGATGTGATCTTCACCCTGTGGTTTGTCAAGCAAACTCAACGTAATCCGGATTATCTAACCAGCAACTGAGAAACATTCACACAGAAGAAACAAATCACCACCACCATTTACTGAAGTGACAGCTGAACATTTATTGGCAGAGAGTAACTTGTAATTCTATACAGCTAAAGTGGATGTGTCTAATGACAAATCAATATAACTTAACCAAAGAGTATACCTTATTAACCAATCAAACTCAAAACTTGGGTAACGTACATGTAAATAAATGATATCACATCTTCTCTAGCAACATCATAGGCAGACAAAGAAATCCTGCGATGTGACTACAGATGAAACCCACGTCGGGATAGAAGACTTGGAATAGAAGACTACCTTTACAATACAAATGACAAATATAATACCGGAAGTAGCTTAAGTGTTTCAAACCTCAACGAGGACGCTTAGGTTTAATCTGAGTAGAATCAGTTGATGATATAAACAGCCCTAGTCAAGACAATCTGCAAATGGTCCCCCACGAGAGTTAGAGCAAAGAACCCGCTCAGGTGCCATTGTGCAGCGCTTGTATCTGAACAGAACCTAATCCAATCTTTATAGCGCGATGATAAAGTTCTCCAAGCTGTACCAAGATCCCGACACGTTTGTGGGATCAAGGTGAATGATAAATTGTCCTAGAGTGGTCTGCGGACGATTAGTTCGGATAGTTAAAGGAAATTTAGACGACTATGTGAAATAACCGATCTCTTTGATTGTAGGGATATTTATACCCGTCCTGCATTAGATGGGCAAGGATGTGCACCTTGTACATACGGGGCGCAACCTAGACAGGGATATGTGGATCACCTGGGGTCAGTGAGGACGGCACTCCGTGAATCATTAGGTAAGAACTAAGGCGGATTATCACCACGTTGATAGGAATCCGATTCACAGACAGGGCACACGACCAAATTTAGCAGGAAATACTCCAACAATCACGAATTGTAGCATATTTCAACTGGAAGATTGACTCCATCTTTTGATGTGACAACTGATAGGTCAGAGACGGACGTTAGATACATTGAAGTTTATGGTTAACAGCAAAGCTGCCATGTTCGTTGGATTAATAATGAGAATGAAAACTAAATTCCTTGACTGTACACGTTATGATATAAATGAAATAAAGATATCGAACAGAAAATACGTATTATATCTATTAGTCATCGAATCATCGCAGATCATGACATTGCCAAATTCTGGGACAGCATTTGATTGATAGCTCCTTGAATTTATACTGGCTGTAACTAATAACAACAGCGCATAAACATAAGAGAGAAACATAATCTGGCATTAATTGGTGTCCATTAATTAAGAGAAACAATATCTGAGAATAATTAGTGTCCATTAATTAAGAGAAACAATATCTGAGAATAATTAGTGTCCATTAATTAAGAGAAACAATATCTGACATTAATTAGTGTCCATTAATTAAGAGAAACAATGTATGACATTGATTAGTGTCCATTAATTAAGAGAAACTATATATGACATTGATTAGTGTCCATTAATTAAGAGAAACTATATAGGACATTAATAAGTGTCCATCAATGAAGTGAAACAATGTCTGACAATGATTAGAGGCCATTAATTAAGAGAAACAATGTCTGACATTGATTAGTGTCCATTAATTAAGAGAAACAATATCTGACATTAATAAGTGCCTATTATTTCACCTATGTCGATATTTTAAATTTTTTTTTTTTTAAATACGTAGTAAATTTTCTTGTTACTTACGGGTGGTGTGAGCAAATCTCATAGGCATAATATCACAGGCATGGATGTAATGATACAGGGTGCGTTCTATCAAGTCCTGTGGTTCGTACCCTGTTAATTGTCCAACTCTGCAATCACAAAGTTTTAGGGTTTTAGGATGTGATATGACAGTTGATATTTCGTATAACTACATAAAATGCGTATTTCTCGTTTTCAAAATCTCATCGAACGAAATGTCATAATCGAAATTTCTTGTACGTACCTAGCATCGAGGAAAATAAGTTTGAGATCGAGGCTTGCTCTGAACATGAACATGTTACTGAACATTTTGATTTCTGTTATGGCGCTGGGTGGAAGCGAGTGTCCAACGGCAACCAAACCCATGTTTTGAAAACAGCCTTCATACGGTGCCATGTCCATAGTGTATTGTTTAATCTTCATATAGCCACTACAGTGTATTACCTAAAACATTACAATGTACAATAACGTATGTGATATCGTATATAAGTTAATGTATATAATCTACAAGCGATATTACAGTATATACATACAGGTATGTAAACAATCAGTTAATCAGGTAGATTTTATGTTTTACACTGTATACAATCGACATTGTAATACAAATTACGTAATAATCAGTAACACAGATACATGATAATAATTACTTACAATTACATTTGACAGATATTAAAGTATATAACTAACTATCGCACAAAGAAATAGAAGTGATATCACTACAATGACCGTAAATACTTCCCCAAAATTTTCATCAACTTTTGCAATGTATTTCTTTGTAATTTATTTTGATAGGTTCTTCGACCAATTCAGCCTCGCATGAAAACAAAAACACTCGGCCAACAGAGGGGCCATATGCCAATGGTCTGTTGGAAGATTATACCACCAAACTCAACGCAGGTATTGTCAACCAGAAATTTGATCATTTCTATAACTTCGGTTTTGGTCAAAAGCTCTTTAAAGTTCTTTAAGATCCATATACTATTCATTAATTCCACTTCTTGAGTAAACTGTATCACAATAAGACTATAACCCAGATCTGATGGTGCTAAGAATAGTGGTTAGTTGCTTTGACAAAGGTTTGGTTGAACAGCTAGACGAACCAGCAATAAAACGTTGTTTATATGGATTCTTGTGAAGTTTAGGAATCCAATATAAACGAGAAAGGTCTGTATCTTTTTCATTGATAATCTAAATGATTGTAATACTGAAGCATGATTAGCCGATATTTCTTCTTTGGAAAGATTGCATAATCTATAGGTGGTGTTTCCTTCGTTATCAACCAAGCCAAGATGTTTGACTAATACATAAATGTTTGACATTGATAGTGATATTGATGGACTGATGGTATTATTTGCAGTAGTAAAATCCGATATCAAAACACTTGATAGTTCGTTTTACTTTGAGGATGATGCATCATCGTAATAAAGTTCAGTCTATCTTACGTACCTTGTAGCCACCATTTGTTAGTCCAGAATTCCGTTTAGCTAGAACACATTTCATGCGTATAAAGAAAACTCTCTCTATTTCAATATCTGAAAAAAATGAAACTCATTTATAACTTTGTTCCCAGTAAATAGAAAATTTCATCAGTTTTATCATTATGTGTTGGAAGTTTATTTCCACTTTGCATATCAAATATTTAAAAAGGCCTTCATTTTATTATGGTCTTTTTCCATACCTGTTTGAACAACAAATGTTAGATTTACGAAAACTCACTTCCACAATGACAATGTGGTGTCATGGTTACCCGGATTCCTATGGACAAGATTTATCATTATCATATAGAAGACATAGCAGCGTTATGTGTTTTGTTGATGTGAGATGTGAGATGAAGTGTACTTTGTTGCATGTGATAAGTGTATTCTGTTACAGATATGAGATGGGTCTGTTGAATACCTTGTAACAAGTGTGAGTGGTAGGGATTATGAAGGGACAGGACGGCGGTCATTTCGTCGTGGTCGGACGGATGGATGTACTCGAATACACTACTTCCTGTCAGCTCCACCTGGCAAACAATCATCAATAAATTACTGTCTACGTATTTGTCGTATTTTCCGAATTCACTCTCTTACGTACAATTAAAATCTTCGACAACAAATACAATATATCAAAACGACAAAACCACTTTATCTAATTAATATATAACTTTTCCTAACTCCCATTGTCAATAACATGTAAACAATATAAAGATATATTTTTCCCTACTTCTAAGTGTTAATGGGTTATAATACATAAATGTTTATCTTACTCCCAACGTCAATGAGAATGTAAAATGTATAAAAATATATCTTTTCCTAATTCCATTGTCAGTGAGTTTGTAAAATACATAAAATATATATCTTATTCCGATTGTCAGTGGGAATGTAAGATACATTAACATATACCTTTCCCTAACTCCCAGTGTCAACAAGAATATAAAATACATGAAATATATATCTTACTCCCAATGTCAGTGGGAATGCAAAATACATTAATAAATATCTCTCCTTCACTCCCATTGTCAATAAAAATGTAAGATACATAAAGATACATCTTTTCCTAACTCCCAGTGTCAAAAAAATGTAAGATACAAAAATATATTTTCCTGACTCCTCGTGTTAATAAGAATGTAAAATACATATTTCACAAATAATTTATGACACATGTTGTTACGTCAATGCCGCAGTTTTATGTCATATATTTTATTTGCATTATAGGTCGTTAATAAAACATCAAATAAATACAAGTTTATATCATGTCGCCTACAGTTACCTCTCTTGTAATAGTTCACCGTGTAATGATTTGCCATCACCTTTTATTGTAACTTTCACTCATGATATTTCTAGGTGTGCTCATTACATTACTAGTGATAGCTACTGGTTGGCTGTCACTCGCTAGTAACATTCACATAACTAATAAGGTAACGTCATCTGTGTCTGTGACCTATATATAACCTCTCGCGTGGTATAGTTATACTCTCCTGTGAAGTATACCTTCACCTATCATAGTTGCAGTTATATGTGACAAATAACACCACATGGCAGAGTAACAATCACTTGTGATATATACCCTCAACTGTGATATTTACATTCACCTCTGATATATATCCTCACTTTAAATAGTTACGCTCACCTGTGATATATACCTAACCTTTTATAGTTAAACTCACGTGTGATATAAACTCTCACCTGGTACAGTAACATTTACCCCTGATAGAAACCCTCACCTGTTTTAGTTACCCTAACCTGTGATATACAATATATATATTCTTACCTGTAAGTTTTCAATCATCTGCTATTGTTAAACTCACCTGTGATAGTCCCAGATGTACTGACGCTGTCTCTGATATGTACAAAATTTTACCGTCTGGTGCGACAACGAAAATAAATCCATCCAACGTCTGAAACAGAAAAGAAAATGTTAGAAGTATATAAGACAAAACAATCGTTGGAGATAATGAAATATATTATTCTTTATACGCCGTTGGTACAATAGTGGGTACACTGAATGATTTCGACAGTGTGAACACATTAATTAAAAGATGTTACAAAAATTAGGTAAGGATGATAAACACACAAGTATTTTAATATTATTGTAAGATCAAATGATAAACACGAACTCACAAAGATAAATATAGCAGAGTATATAAACAAAAAAAAATCGAAAATTCTTTGAAACAATGAATAAAGAAAGCCCATTCACTCTGCTCAAAAATCAAGTTATGTACGAGTATTAAGGAATGTATTGTCTGTGTCGAAATAAAGACTATATTTCCTTTGGTAAGAAAGAGTTTACAGACACCGTTAATTGGATAAAAGAGATTATTATACAGCCCGACTTATTTGAAATCTACTTATTTTTCAGTTATTTTATCGTCATCAAGGATTCTACTAATCTTTTCAAGCGAAAGGACAAAATCGGCCGAGGCAAGCCCACGCCATTAATTATAGGACATGAGATGAGAGTCCTCCTCGCTAGCAAGTCAACCAATTCTCAAGCAAATCAATTAAAACGATCAAAATCGTTTTTACAAATGGCACCGGAGAGCAACGCAGTGCTGAATGTTAATAAGGAAGTGTAATGATGGGACAAGGAAAGCTACTTTGTGCTGGGTATCAGCGCGCTGAGAAAAACGCTCGGATAAGCATGTAATTGGATGTAGCTTTTACGCTTAAAAGTCTAATAGAAGACAAATTCTTCCTGCCAAACCCGATTACAATTAACTTTGGAGAAACAGCTACGTGAAGGAAATGAAAAAAGGAGCAACTATTCCGGATGATTTTTCAGACAATCTCTGGCGATATATCGCACTAATCATTTGATGCGATGTTCATGTTATCAGAAACACGTTAAGTGGCAGATAAGAGAGGCGTATTGTCGCCTGATGCAATCAAGATGAAGCGTTGGTACATCAAGGGGAGGGCTGAATCTTTCTCCACGTCAAAGAACAAGTTCCTAGGACCAAGAAATGCTGTTAAATATCTTGACCTCATATCACCGATGATTTCCTTCACACAAGATACGTTGATAAGCAGTGTTATTACTTCTGTATATGTTAATTTCATGGTGGCTGGTTATAATTCGTCTATGGCCTTTCATTACGATAACACAGTAATGTAAGCAACTGGTTCCTAAACTCGTTATGTAAATAATACTGTAACATTTTCAAACGCGCGAAGATATATCCCTTATGTAGACGTTGTATGTGCCTTTTATGTATTTTAACATTTTTGTATGAGAATGGAGCTCTACATATGATTCCTATCTTTTTATTTATTTATTTATCAATGCTATACTATAATATGTTTATGGGTTACATATATCGTGTTTTGTGCATTGATTAAATGTCACACTCGTTAAATAGGGGTTATATATCATTCTTTGTTCATGAAAAATACTAATGTAATAAATAGAATTTGTACTGCATTGATGTCTGTTTATGGTATATCTTGCTCTGTAAATGAATTATATAGTGTTCCATATATAAAAATACATAACATTCTCATAAGCTAAACTATTGTTTATGATTTTTTTGTAATTTTTATATTTCACTCTGATATAAATAGCAAAATATATTCCGTGTAAGAATGAGGGTTTGGTCTGGAGATATTGATAACATGGAGTTTCATCATTATCTTTGTATCTTATTCTGTCTGTTAATGTCTCATACTTTACTTGAATTACTCATCGCATCATATATCCTGTGAATGACCTCTTTTTGGTAATATATGATTTACATATTATAATTTGTAAAAGAATTTATGATTTATGTATGACATGTGCATTAAAAAGATTCTGTTTGTGTGAATGATATTAATTCATCATGAATTACATGTTATATTAAAATATATTCTGTGTGTGAGAGTTGCTTATATTCATTATGATTTACAAGATGTATATTATAAAGTAATGTGTTTGTATAGGTTATATATGTATATATAGAGAGAGAAATTGATGAATAATGCTACAGATCAGTGCTTTATCATACCTTCACATGTAAAAATGTGTAGGATACGAAGGACGTAAATTCTTTACACGAAGCTCCAATCTCCAGTAGCTCATATTTACTAAGGATATTAATGATTAATTCAATTTTATGTTATGCCACAATTCTCTGTACTATATGTATCATAATGTACATATCTTCTTTATAGAATACTCACATATTTTACTTACACTTTTATTTTTATTATAGATATGACTTAAGGTTCGTTTCCTTATCATAATCAACAATCATAATGCCTACGAGATTATGTAATTCTTCAAATGAGCCTATATACTTCCTCTTTTAGATTATGTTCACCATATAATGAAAATATGTACTTCCTCTAATTAGATTTTGTACATCATATAATGAGAATATGTACTTCCTCTATGCAGATTATGCACTCCATATAATGAGATTATATACTCCCTACGATGTTACTAACATAGTTATATTAGTAACGCTCCGAAGTTTGCCTGTATTGGCATAATGGAGTACTTGTAGTTAGATATATTAAACAATTGTTTATCATTGTCTTGTCATTGGGATCGTTTCACCTGTACTGCATCATTCATGATTATTTCTAATTATCCCTTTGTTTAATACATGCATTTATAACAATATGAGGTTAAGTTTATTCCGGTGTAGGATTTTGACAATCCTCTTCACCAGACTCAACATACATATTACATAATAACATAACAATATATCAAAAATAAAAAGTGCAATATGAGTAATATGGATTGTTAAGTATCGTTAAATCTAGAGATTTGGATTAATTTCAGTCTAATTTTGAAAGTTTTGTAAATGTCGGATATCGCAAATTCTGGTAGAGTGTTTCATATGTGTGATGTTTTCACATACAGTGAGATAGTTCAGTCTTGGTGTTAACATTGCTCGCTGTGGAAACAGATTTCTAGGATTTCATCTTTCACTGTTTCCATATCTGGTCATTATTTTACAGGAAAGATTGTCATATACTCCAATGATAATTTCCGCAAACATGTGCTTTATGAGGATGTAGGTAACTAAAGTCTTTTAGCCTTTTTTGTGGCTCGGCATCGAATCAAATTGATATAGTTGTCTTTATAAGACCAGACTGCATTTACATCAATAAGACAAGAACTTGAATGCCAAACATTGAGTTGATATCTCTCCACCTGATCACTTAGTTATTTTAGAAATACAAATCTGATCTATAATCACCCTAATGTCCTTTCACTCGCAGTATTTCTTATCATTAAGGTTAGATTTAATATGACAAATATTAAGTATCATCACAGACTTTCTGATGTAATATCTACACTTATCTCGGTGCATTTTCAATCATTAATTGTGTCTCAATATTTGCTCTCATGTCCTTGGTGATTACTTTGGAAATTATAATGGTAGTTTGCTGAAGGAATCACTGTTTATATCATCTATAAATCATTGCTATTACATTCTCCAATGCTTTTCTATTTTATCATAAAAACCTTGTTTTTCTTCTGTAAATCATCGCTAATTTGATCTATGTGCCTTTGCTATTTTTTTTATAATCCCTTGAGGATTTTTTTAATTTTCTATGAAACTTTCTAATTTTCTCCAATTAACCATTGTTGTATTAATGTATGACCATTTTTATCTTATTTATAATCCATTGATATTTTGTTCTATACATTATTACTAATTTGCTGTATAACCCATTAATATTTTGTTCTATACATTGTTACTAATTTGCTGTATAACCCATTAATATTTTGTTCTATACATTGTTACTAATTTGCTGTATAATCCATTAATATTTTGTTCTATACATTATTACTAATTTGCTGTATAACCCATTAATATTTTGTTCTATGCATTATTACTAATTTGCTGTATAATCCATTGATATTTTATAATTCATTTTGTTCTGTAAACGTTTCTGATTTTCTCCTATAATTGTTGTTGATTGTGTTACATATGTAAACCATTCTCATTGTTATGATACCCATTGTTAATGGTTATCTTTCTTTTTGTTTTATAAATCATTGTTATTAAGCGATATACCATGGCTTTTTGTTACAGACATCGTTATTTTGTTTCTATAAACCGTTGTTATTTTTCTCATATAAACCATTATTTGTCGTTATGATACCTGTAACAGCAACAGATTTTAAGTAAAATGTACTAACTGTTAAATATATTATATATGCCTTGTTAAAGTTACCATGTAAATATTATCATGTATTGTATTAGAGGAAAAGGCGGTCATATGTTAAAATAACTTGTGCCTAATTCTCTGCTCAATTTTGGGGCAATAAATATGTTTAAATCAAAATCAAACCTGTAGTTTATTGTAATCGTTTTGCTAAATAAATCATTGTTATTTTTATCGATAAACCAATGCTTTTTGCTACAATTATCTTTATTTCGTTCAATAAGCCGTTGTTATTTGGTTCTATGTTGTTATTTAGTTTTAATTTTTAGCAACAAAATATGTTTAAATTATTAATATAAACCTTTGTTTTATGGGTCGTTCTGTAATTCATGTCTATGTATAACATGTTGTTTAATAAACGATTGTTTTACTTTCCTAAAAAGAAGGATTTTGTTTAATGAAATGTTTTTCTCATTCTGTCTTTTGTAAATTTCAAGGTATATTGTTTTTTGATAAGACACATTTATTTTGTTTCTCGGTGAATATTTCATTGTAAAATGAACAGATGGTCAATATAAATTCTGCTATGATTTTCTTCTCTTATTTTGAAAAATCTTTTTTTTTTTTTTTTTTTTTAATTTTTATTTCTTTTTCTTCTATAAAATAGATCTTACACTTGTAAGTGTTAGAATGATTAGAGTTATTTGTTAATTTGGGCTTACATTGTATATCTATATTTCGCATATTCCTCTATAATTCGCCGGAAATGGTGCATCAATCCAGTAACACATTTACGCGCTATAAAGACAGTAGAACCTTAATGGTGACGCGCGACAATGCATTAGATTCGAGGCTTAAATTTTCAAAAATAATGAAAAAAATAATTGTTCTTTCTTTTTAACAGAAGCAAAATCTCTTCGAACATTCATAAATAATGATTCCGTTATTTGCATGGAAAAATTCCATTCTGCGGTATTATTAAAATTTATGTATAGATAAAATTGTTTTGACGCTAGTGTTTATCGCAGTTCATCTAGGATTATCTGCTCATCTTTTCACCAAATTCCTTCAATATCATAATGATGAACGGGTTTAAAGTCTGAGCAGAAATTAATTATTTTTATCAACTACATGCCAAAACAATTAACAGTGTTTCCTAGATAGTAGGCTATGGAACCCTGTCATTAAAGAGTAACCATAGAGCCACCCATTAGGTTGAGAGGAACTTCTGGGTCAATCATCTTTAATATCACTATTAATTATCACCCATTTCAGCAGCCAACAACAAATTATACAGTAGCTGAAACTGACATGCTCTTCACTAGTTCTATCTCCTGCCAGGAGTTATGTCATGAATGCACAGGCACGTACACAGAGCCTCTGCGGGGTTAAGATAAACCACTGATCGGACCTCCGTCACTGGAGAGTTCTGTGCGGATTTCACATCAATCAGGCATGGAATACATATCCTGTGACATGGTAGACGACAAACTAAAATCTCCCTTGATCCACACACACAACAGAATACTGCTCCATTTCATCTTGCTATGAAGAATATGCCCACTTTGGCAACAACCTGCGCAACAATGGCGAGGAGCTCTGACATGTCATAGTATCTTCTTTCTTGTGAATTTTATTCTTTTTCACCCCCCCCCCCCTCCCCCCTCCCCCCCTCCCAAAAAAATAAAAAAAAACAAAGTAATGTTCATGAAGGATAAAAAAAGCATTTATATACATATATCTGATTCACGAAGCCGTATATCGTTGGATTCAGATAATAAAAAAATCAAAAGATGATATATGCACTGTTACTACAAGAATGCAACAATTGTTGATTCAAATTATAACTTGAAAAAAAAAACATTTTCAATGACAAACAAGTTCAAATTTACTTTGAGCGATTAAAGTCGTAATACCCGAACATCTTTTTGTAAAGGCGCAGATTGGAACAATTGTTTTATATTTCAACTGTGAACTATGTGGCAAAATTAAAGCACATACAAAATGTACAGTTATATTCAATTTTGCGGGACACATGTAGATATTAAATGTGTACTTCTGCAATCTTTGGGAATACAGATTCGGCCTATTTGTGGTTATGTCTTATCTATTTCATTATACTACGGAAAATAAAGATATGTAATATCTCAGTGGTGACAAAATGGGACAGTTGAGGTTCGTATTATGCAAATATTTTGTAAAGGCAGTTTTTATTTTAAAGTCAATTTGATGCAATAATTTGACGAAATTGTAGCTCTTAATAAAATATTGAAGTATGACTTTTGCCCTGCTTGTTCTCCCTTCAAATGTTTGATCAGAGCACGTCAAGAAGAAAACAATTATAACCAAATGATAAAACAATTAATGTTAAGAATTTTTTATCTAATATTGAATTGAAAACAATAAAAAAAAAAAAAACAGTGAAAAAATTGCCGTTGGTTCGAAGTCCCAGTACAAAATGTCTGTTCATGGTCATGAACTACCTGATTATGAGTTGAAATAGTACATATTATAGGCGATGATCCCGTGTTTACCATCATCCACAATAACAATATCGTTGAAACAATCGTTTTATGATCATTGTTATTTTATTTCTATATAAAACAAAACAAGAGAACAGTCACTCTTATCGAACGTGTTTCATGTTGAACAATGAACGAGGCATTTGAGAATTAAAACCCTCCTACGTCATGACTGGGACAACCATTTTTTCGGCGAGCGGGAACGCTTATCCGCGATATATGGAAGAGGTTTCACTTAGTCCATATTCAAAATTATCAAAATGCATTTACAAACTCTCGATTTGTCGAGAAAAACTCTTCACCCTCGTAAAGGAAACCAAATACACCCATTCACAAACAAAGTAAGTAATAACAATTACCAAGGTAACATTACCATTTAAGTGGAAAAAAGCCAATAATGTTCACACAGTTACAAACTAGTTTCACAATATATTATAACAATAATTTAGCTAAAGTACGTATTCGTGTCGCTAAAAAAAGAAAACATCAAGCTCGTGAAATTACACAGGAGAACGGTGCTGTTTCTGTTGCTACAGTTTTCCCAGAAAACAAAAGTTTTTAAGAAGATTGTTGCTGAGGAAAAATGACTAACTGACCTGAGATTTTAGAAAGTGGTCAACATAAGGGAAAAGACTCTCAAAAAAAAGGTGTGCTAGAGAGTGTCTGATAGTCATTATTTCATGAGCAGATAAATCATTTTTGTGGAGGATTTTATGTAGTGAGGGAGATCGTTTGGGTTGTAGGATGTATTGATAACTTAGAAAAAGTTGGTACCTGTAACAGGTGTGAGCCCAATTCCTTGTCGAGCCTTGTTCTGTGTCCCATTTGTCTTTGTCCCCAGCCATCACCAAGACCTGTCCGAGAAAGAAAGCATATCGTTAATAGTGTGTCAAAAAATTTAGTTTACAAGTGGAACTAGTACTTCAAAACATCAAAATAGAATCATCCGATTTAACTTTGTTCTTCGCAAGGCAGATACTATTTACAGTTAGTGTGAGTCTACGACACTGTTTCATGTCCATAAAATTTGTTTTTAATACTTTTATTTTTATTTTCATTTCGATAAATCATTTACATTTTTTACAAAACAAAACGAAGAGAGGATTTTTTTTATTTAAAATAGTTGACCAAATGTCTATGTTATTGGAAGTACTGTGATAGAGAAGGCTACAGGGAACTGGAAAAATCTCGTGAACAGGGCAGTGGTATCGACGTCAGTTGGGTGTTATCGTAACCCATACACGACAAAAGGTTTAATAATGACACATAGTGCTCGATTTGACATTTCCAAACGAATTGTTTCATTCATTTGAGATACCATTTATGCAGCACAGACCAAACAAGCGGGTACGCGGGAGTCGTGCTGAGTAGACTCCGCCCTGCCTGGTATTTTCTTACAACCACGGTGTTATTCGCGTGAAAAGGCGGATAGGCGAAACGACCAACTTACAAAGACCCCTTAATTATAGAGTTTTCTTTAGAGCTCTAAATAGCATATTATAGGAACAAAGCACAACGGGAAATCCGCTTAATGAGATTTTAATCAATTAGGAGAAAATGTTCGATACTGGTTTCAATTCTGGCCGTATAATGGAATCCGGATTTTTACCAGTTCCGTGCCAGTAATTAATATTGACGTTTTTTGGCCTTCAGCAAAAAGGCACTGGAAAGCCGTTAGTCGACGGGAGGGAGCTAGTTTGTGAATAGCGTTTGGTTTCAATGTTGCGACAAGAGGGTTGCTCATAAACACCCTATTTGTCCATCAATCCGAATGATCCGTTACAAGGGGCCTCGCCTGGGGTGTTAGCCGGCGCAACTAAAGTGGTTTCGATGATGACAATATGTTTCAATTTTGGAGGCTCCACTTGGGAGGTTGTCAGAAACAGTCTCACAGAAAGAATAGTCCTGGGGATACAATCACAACGACAAACTAAATTTCTACGCTACAGGAAATTATGTTTGAATAAAAAAAAACGCTAATTGGCATTAAAAATATAAGTATTGGCCTGTTGACACCCCTGTCTATATATTTATGATACCTGATTATCAAGTTGTCAGTATATTTATGATACTTGATTATCAAGTTGTCTATATATTTATGATACCTGATCATTGTATCTAGTTGTCAGTATATTTATGATACCTGATTATCAAGTTGTCAGTATATTTATGATACCTGATTATCAAGTTGTCAGTATATTTATGATACCTGATTATCAAGTTGTCAGTATATTTATGATACTTAATCATTGTATCAAGTTGTCATTATATTTATGATACTTGATCATTGTATCAAGTTGTCAGTATATTTAAGACACTTGATTGTATCAAGTTGTCATTATATTTATGATACTTAATCATTGTATCAAGTTGTCATTATATTTATGATACTTGATCATTGTATCAAGTTGTCAGTATATTTATGATACTTAATCATTGTATCAAGTTGTCATTATATTTATGATACTTGATCATTGTATCAAGGTGTCAGTATATTTATGATACCTGATTATCAAGTTGTCAGTATATTTATGATACTTAATCATTGTATCAAGTTGTCATTATATTTATGATACTTGATCATTGTATCAAGTTGGTATATTTATGACACTTGATTGTATCAAGTTGTCAGTATATTTATGATACTTGATCATTGTATCAAGTTGTCAGTATATTTATACACTTGATTGTATCAAGTTGTCATATATTTAAGACACTTGATTGTATCAAGTTGTCAGTATATTTATGACACTTGATCATTGTATCAAGTTGTCAGTATATTTATGACACTTGATCATTGTATCAAGTTGTCAGTATATTTATGATACCTGATTATCAAGTTGTCAGTATATTTATGATACTTGATCATTGTATCAAGTTGTCATTATATTTATGACACTTGATTATTGTATCAAGTTGTCAGTATATTTATGACACTTGATCATTGTATCAAGTTGTCAGTATATTTATGACACTTGATCATTGTATCAAGTTGTCAGTATATTTATGATACCTGATTATCAAGTTGTCATTATATTTATGACACTTGATCATTGTATCAAGTTGTCATTATATTTATGACACTTGATCATTGTATCAAGTTGTCAGTATATTTATGATACTTGATTATTGTATCAAGTTGTCAGTATATTTATGACACTTGATCATTGTATCAAGTTGTCAGTATATTTATGACACTTGATTGTATCAAGTTGTCAGTATATTTATGACACTTGATTATTGTATCAAGTTGTCAGTATATTTAAGACACTTGATTATTGTATCAAGTTGTCAGTATATTTAAGACACTTGATTATTGTATCAAGTTGTCAGTATATTTAAGACACTTGATTATTGTATCAAGTTGTCAGTATATTTATGACACTTGATCATTGTATCAAGTTGTATATATTTAACACTTGATCATTGTATCAAGTTGTCAGTATATTTATGACATTGATTGTATCAAGTTGTCAGTATATTTATGATACATTGTATCAAGTTGTCAGTATATTTAAGACACTTGATTATTGTATCAAGTTGTCAGTATATTTATGACACTTGATTGTATCAAGTTGTCAGTATATTTATGATACCTGATTATTGTATCAAGTTGTCAGTATATTTATGATACCTGATTCTATTGTCAAGTATTTATGACACTTGTCAAGTTGTCATTATATTTATGGCACTTGATTATTGTATCAAGTTGTCATTATATTTATGATACCTGATTATCTAGTTGTCATTATATTTATGTTGATTATTGTATCAAGTTGTCAGTATATTTATGACACTTGATTATTGTATCAAGTTGTCAGTATATTTAAGACACTTGATTATTGTATCAAGTTGTCAGTATATTTATGATACTTAATCATTGTATCAAGTTGTCAGTATATTTATGATACTTGATTGTATCAAGTTGTCATTATATTTATGATACTTAATCATTGTATCAAGTTGTCAGTATATTTAAGACACTTGATTATTGTATCAAGTTGTCAGTATATTTATGATACCTGATTATCAAGTTGTCAGTATATTTATGACACTTGATCATTGTATCAAGTTGTCAGAAGATTTACAATACTTTATTTCTAATCAAAATGTGAGTAGGTCTATTCTATTTAATTACTGTATCAAGTTGTTTGTACATTTGTAAAACTTGTATTTCAATTAAACGTTATCAGTATGATTGTGGGTTTTTTTCATTTTTGTTTGTCTTTATCAGCAAAATGTTTGTTATGTTGGATTTTACAAGTACGATAGACTGATATGAGCACAAGTCATATATCATTTCTGTAAATAATTCCTAAATAATACTTAGAAGTGCCGTGCATATAATATAGATAATGCTACAAATTGATTGTTTGATATTTTACGCTTCATCTTATTCAGTGAACTGACTTGTCCTATGTCGGTTGTTCAGGAGACGTCATGAAAGGTTAAAGGTTAACAGTTGGTGTCAAGAGGTCAACTCACACGTGTTCCGAGGTAAACATGGCACTGGTGATTATAGCTTTTGTCGGAGATTCAGGTAGCGAGTAGGAGACAGATGTTGCTTCGCTCTTTGACGTATTTTATTAATTTGCAAAGTAAACACACAGTTCTTGTAAGGTGATAACAGTGTTATCAGGGTCTTTCTCCTTTGTTTTCTTTCCATCACTCGTCAAGATGGTCGGTGTAGGTATATCTTTTACAACTCGACGAAGAAGATCACTTTTGTTGGGCCATGTACCGTCCAATTATTTCTAGTATAGATAATCAGAGATCGGAAGGATATGATACAAGCATACGTGTCAATCAGAACTGACAATCTACCTTAATGTTTACTTGTCGTGTCATGTGGACTTGTCTAGTTGTGATTACGAGCATATCTTTGTAGCCTCTATAAAGTATTTGATTTAGGCAGAAATACTTCACACTTTGATTGTCATTTAGCGTTTTGTCTGTAGTTGTAATAAGTGATAGCCACAAATAGATTTATACAGGAGTATATATCAACACACGATACATTAACATAAACGATCGGAATTATACACCAGCTATCTTTCTATATTAGCATAGGTAAATAGACTTATAAATATTTGTACTGGAACTGTTGGTTTGATAATGCACTCATGGATCGACCATGTCCTCCTTTGATGACTATGGATGTTAACAGGACGTTATAAGCAAAAATTAAAACCAAATATCTCAAACTATCTCCATGGATCCATTGTAAATCGATTTAAGACGCCCATTAATATCTGAAAAGTCTCATTATAAATGCAGCCTTTCATATCTTTTTCATGTTTAATGTAGTTGGCATGAGAAAGGCAGATTTATGAAATCAAATTATCGAACAGAACACCTTAAATAAGTCTTGTTCCCACGCGTACTAACTTGTATAACAGGGGGCAGTATCTGAGAGTGGATATTAATTTTCCATCTTCTTGTGAGGTTTATGCTAAAATTTTAATTGCATTGTAAATTGCTATCTTCAAATATTTGGAATCGTTTTAAATTAAAAATGGCCACTGTTCTGTTATTTACCTCCGATAGATTTCGTTCTCTTCATTAATATTCTCTTTCCTCATTACCATGAAAACCCCGACCATCTCCATTCTTTACCTGGGTATTATATCGGTCCGAGGCGGAATTCCGGTCCGCCTCCAAGCAATCAACAATAATTAGCATACTCGTGACAGATCGGGGTATGTTTGCATAATTTACCCAAGTACCCTCCCGGTGTGACAAAGTCTATTGAGAAGCACAATTTGACATTTCCATGGCGGAAGTAAGTAGAGATTCTTCAGTGTTCATTTCAATGAAAATGGTTTAATATCGTTCAAATAATCTCGTAAATTGT